TTTGATTTCTCTCACATTCACATTTCTGCCCTGCAAATTAGCCACATGATGTTCAGAACATGGCTGGTAGGAGGCTTTACTGATAATTCCTGCTCCTACCCGCGCACACTGCTCGGTCTGTTTACAGCTAAGGGATGGAACACAAGCTTGTTACATAGTAAAATGTCCTTCGGCACATGACACTTAAGACAAATCCTTCCATTCTACTATTTCATCCAGAATTTTTCCATCACGAAAACGGGAATAGACGATGAAGTTGAATTTCCTTACTGACTTGCAACTGTGCAACTTCCGTGCCTAAAACAAAGAGGAGGCGATGGCGCGTTTCGTGTCTCCTAGTCCCATACATAGCTCAAGACAATATTTGAAAAGTTACCTTCCTAGCTTGCCCGGCTATGCCGCTAAAAAACCTGATACTCACAAGCTGACACATACTCGGACAGACAAATATGCACATTCACGCACAGATTCTATTCGTTTCTGTGTTTGCACAAATGTAAATTATCTGAAAAATGTTCAGTCTAAAGATACAACGCTTTACGATCATCGTCAAAAAGTTGTGTATCAGCGACCTCTGGAGCAAACGAACTCAGACTGCATCAGAAATAAAGTGTGTGTAAGATTCTTCATCCAGGACATACATACTACGACAATTTTTCAGGAACGGGACAGGGTGCGACATTGACGCGGCGCTGAAATGCGCCAAAACATGCAAAAGATGCTGCGAGTTAGAGGAATTCAATTGCCCCAATAAGCAAGGTTTGAAAAAATCCATTTTTTATGCATCATGAGAATACATATATATCATGAAGGGCTTTGACAAGGCATAATTTGGGTTGTGTGATGCGAAACCAAATTTAAAACTTCCCTGTACTTATAACTTAGTGCTTAAGCACGGGCTAGTATAATAATTTCAGTGAATAGCAAGTTTCGGATGTAAGCCTATAATGCAGTTCATGCAATGTGTGAACTGAAAAGGCAGAGAAGGTAAGATAAGATTATGCATATTTTGCAGACCTGATCACCGTAAGCCATAAGAGTGTACAAGCATGCTAAGCCTGCCGAATGGTACCGCCATTTTTGAAAAAACCACACACTTTCCTCTGTTCTGTTGCAGGTAAACTGGACTGTGCCATAATTGGAAAAGGCGGTCTCTGTAAAACAACCGATCCAAATCTTAAGCGAGAAATCCGTAAACAGTGTCCGCGTACATGCGGCTTCTGCATCGCAACTTGTCGCGATCAGAATGCAGAAATGTGCAGCATTCTAAAAGACAAGTGCAGTGAGCCAATGGTCAAGGAAATCTGCAAGAGAACATGCAGAGTTTGCATACCAGGTCCGTTTCAAAAAAAGTTCTGATGAAATTTATTTGATTTGTTGAACTTATTTGCATTTGAGGATCAGCAATAGCATGGAAGGCTTGCGAATGGTGGGGGTTGCCCACTTGTGTTGAGAGTGTATACAAACTTGATGATCGCTTTCACAGTGCATTGCCAACGTTCTACATCTGTTGGAGTGCTAAAGAAAGCATAAATGCTGTTCGTTGTTATCCGCATCCCTTTGAGGATTTTTAGCAAGCAGTTTTGCTGCTTTGGGACAGTGCTACTAGAAAATACATATAATTTCGGAGGCAGAAAAAATAAACATTTTCATTTATATCCGCCGCCTCTGTAAAAATCAAAAGTACAAAACTGAAAATGACCAAAACACGTTGCGATTTCTCAGGACAGACAGCGAGACAAGTACAACAAAGTTCTTCAGCGTAGGCTGCGCTCAAAATTATAACAGAACGTATCACATTACTTGCTGCTTTCTAGGCTCTGTTTCAAAGTAGCAAAACTGCACAAAAATGTTCGTCGTGAAAAGCAGTATTTTAGCAACTGTGATATTTTCTCGGTATTTATTGGACTGATTCAGATGACTGCGTTGACTTAGTGCCGACATGTTTGGCAATGAAAGACCAATGCAATGAACAGAATATGAAAGACGTCATGCATGCGGCCTGCAACGAAACGTGCGGCTTGTGCCAGCAATCCGAGCCATGCGAGGATCTCTCAGCGAAGTATGTGCTAATTATTTTTAATTGGTGCAGAAATACTGATGATAAGAGCAACAAGAAAATATCGGATTCTGCGAATTAGGCTAGGATTTTCCGAGTCCTTACTCTGGCGCTTCATATGCTATGCAAGAAGCGGGCACAAACCATGAACTAATATTCAAATTGCTCCTGGACTGTTCTTCACTTTAGCAATTGTCCCAAACTCTAGTACTTGTTCCTGTGCTTTTTTTCAGCTATCTTAGAGTGCGCAACTTGCCAGTGTTCAAAAACATTCTTTCCTTTCTCGTCTGGCCAGGAGCGCATCCCTTTCCACTATTCATAAAATGTGTGCCGCAAAAAATGATAGTAATTATTATTACTTAAAATGATAGTAATTATTATTACTTTTATTACAATAACAGCAGTTGAAATAACAATGGCAGTAAAAACCCTAGTAATGACAATTGTTATTGTAATATAATTGGCCACAGATGCAGCTGACAATATCTCCTCTTCTCAACGTTTGAAAGTGATCCTTTACAAAAGTGATGCATTTCATCGCTAGTGCAGTTTCCTTTATGTTCTCCTAATACTGCTTAATTGACAGGCACTAATTACACGAACAGCACTGGGTGTTTACTTAGATCATCTGACATTACGCGAACTTTAACGGCATGTTATTTGTAATCAGATTTTTTGGTGTGATCTTATCCTTTGTTATTCCATATCTTTGCACCCAGTGCTGAAAGGTGTACTGCTTTATTTACGTTGTCCACACCAGACCAAAACTGTTATATTTTATTGGCGACGCGCAGCAACTTGCCAAAACATGCTTCGTTTCACAGCTCGTTGAGCCTCAATGATATTTCACTATTCATTTCATACAACTGTAGTAGTAAAACCGATGAACCGAAATCTCGTTTTCGAAGCTACTGATATGTAGGTAAATTGGAAAGATGTTCTGCAGAGTGGTGAAGGCTATACAACTTGCTATTTCTCAGCGGCGAATTTACAAATCAGCTGGTTGTCTATACTGTTTATCCCAAAAGATATCGTAGTCCACAAAAATTAGCAGATCTGAGTCTCGTTTGGAACTGGGAGCAATACGCTTTCTTCATGTATACACTTTTGCTGCAGCGGATTTGAATCCAGTTTTCTTAACATTAGTTTTGTGCCTGTTTTGTCAACTGGTCAAAGCAACTGGGAAAATTGTCAGTAGCAATAGCGTGAGAATTAGCTGTGTAGTCCAGGTGAAAAAACAAATATCTGTAAATGTTCCTTCCTGAAAATTCGCACAAAATGCATAATTTTAAATAG